TATTATGTCTTGTGAGGGGTAATCAAGTTAGACTCTGATATTTGAATGTAGTTGATAAGCATCATCTTAAGTTTGATGTGGAAATCATTCATGCTTAGTATAGTAATCTTTATGATTGTTTGTGCAATGCTATGCTTGATTAATTGAACCTTGTTTCCCATGCTTTAATTCTGTTTATTGCTGAGGACAGCAACATCTAAATCTGGGAATTGTTTGATGTGCGTCTAGCATATGATGCTTTCTAACTTAAAAGAAACAAGGAATTAATCATAAATGTGTGAAAATAAGTCATAAATGCAAGAAATATTGATTATTCCTTCTCAATCATTCTCTCACTCAATTTATGTGTTTTAATAACAGTAAACGCCACAAAAGGAAGCAAAAGAGAGAAGTTCAATTTTCCAGCTGGAGCACGGTGCGCGGGACCTGGCGGACGATGCGCCATTTTATGTAAATCGTCCCTGTATCCTGGCGCACGGTGCGAGGAACCTGGCGCACGGTGCGCGGGACTGGCGCACGATGCTCGGGACCTAGCGCACGGTGCGCCGTTTGACAGCTTCAGTTCTGTTTTCTCATGCAAAGTGTGCCAGACTTGGCGCAAAGTGCGTGGGCGATATTTTTCAATTTTAATCTGATGCGAATTACTCAAAAAGGAGGCCCAATTGGAGAGCAATCGAAAGTAGGTTTTCCCAAAACCTAATAAAAGGATCAGAAACAGAGGAAGGAAGGACTTTTGACAAGGAAGAGAAAAACAACAAAGAGAGGGAGAATTCTTGGGAGCTTCTTGGAGTTTCAAGGATTCGATCAATCAAGACGGAAGATCTTCATCTTCCTTTTCTCTTTTAGGTTCTTAATTTTATTTTATTTTATGATTATCTTGTCAGACATGAATATGCATGGCTAGTTTTATCATTGTGGTAAGGGTCACAACCCTTGATGTGTACCCCTTGTGATTTGGTTAAATTTATATTCATCTATGTTAATTGAGTTTATTTTATCTTGTTCTTCATATATAATTCTTCTAGAACTGATCACTCTTTTAGGATTGCGAGGGCTAGGGTTTTCAATAGGAATATTAGAATTCTAATTCCTGACAAGAGGTAAGATAACTGTTCATGTATGCACTAGGGATAGGCTACATGAACCGCAAACGTGAAAGATTTGCTGATTTGAAGGCTCAACTTAAAAAAGGGATTTCTAAGGGATTATGATTCTAATAGGGTTGTTAAGGTTAAGATCATTAAGGAATTAAGGCTTAACCAATTAAATAAAAGATAGTGAATCGTTTGATCAATGGCATAATTGAATGTAAACGTTAATTCAAGTTACAAGGTGGGGATCATAAATGTGTTGGCATCTCTTTACCGCAATATTTTCTCAAATATTTTCTAAACCTTTATTCCGTGTTCTTGAATTCTAAAAGACTTTTGGAATCATTTACATTTTCTTTAATTGTTTTCGTTTATTTCAAAAACCGCAACTGTCCTTAACCCAATTTTATTAATCCAACAAGAGATGAATAGTTATAATAACTTAGGTGCCTCAACCCTCGTGGAGACGATACTCTACTCATCATTTTATTACTTGGTACGATCGGTACACTTGCCGATTTTACGCAACAGTGGATAAATATAAAAATATATTATATGCTTATATAAAATGTTGACAGTAAGAGGTGGCAAAATAGGCTCGGCTCGGAAGGCCGACCCACCCATGCTCTCCTACACCTTTTATATATATTTATTGTGTTTATTGTCTAACTATAGATATCATAGATAGATAGTAATCTAGATGCAACTATAAGAACTTTTTTTTGTGTGGATAAATATAAAAATATATTACGTGCTGATATAAAATAATGACAGTTAGAGGTGGCAAAATGGGCTCGACCCGGAGGGCCGGCCACCTGGTTCCCCAATAGTTTTTTTTTATTCTTATGTTTATTAGATAACTATAGAAAACATAGATAGATAGTAATCTAGATGCAACTTTAATATATTTTTTGTGTGGATAAATATAAAAATATATTACATGCTTATATAAAATGCTGACAGTTAAAGGTGGCAAAATGGGCTCGGCACGGAGGGCCGGTCACCCAGCTCGCCTATAGTTTTTTTTATTCTTATGTTTATTTCTAACTATAGAAAACATAGATAAATAGTAATCTAGAAGCAACTATAAGAAACTTTTTCTTTTGGATAAATATAAAAACTTATTACATGCTGGCATAAAATGCTGACTGGCATATGTGAGAAAATGGGCTCGACTCGGCAGGTCGGCCCTCCTCGCTCGCCAAACATGCGAGTTAGCCTAGCAACATGTATTTATATATATATATATATATATATATATATATTTACTGTCTAACAAACTTATCTTTGTGTGGCTAAGATTATTGGATTTACTGCTGTAAATATTTCAGAAACAAGCATCAAAACAAATTTTTTTTTCCCGCACAGTCATTTTGAAAAATATCGTAAGATAACAGATTTATACATGCCAAAGGTATTGTCCTCCCTTGGATAGTCATCCGTGTAAAATCAATATGCACTTGATATGCATTTATGTGTACTGTGTGGATTTACAAATAGCACACTGTTGATTGCAATTTGTAGTTATACGGCTTAACTGCACTTTTATGCATGGTATATACATGCTTATTTATTTGACACTTTTATTTATAGATTGTTTATCATTTATTTCCAATACGAATAAGGATCAAAAGTGCATCCAGAATGGATTTTATTACTTTTGCAATTTCCCATGTTGGACCATCTTCATCATTACATTGATGTCAAGCATAACTTTTAATTTTTTCTTCTTCATGTATTGCGTGATTATCTAAATTTGATTGGCCATTGTCAGTGGTTTTGATTTGCAACAAGTTGTTATGAATTAACCCCTCCAACCTTGACTTTGTGTTCACACTTAAGTAGAATGAGTTTTATCACTTTTGCAAGTGCATGCGGAGGTTAGTCATCGACACTTAAATTTGTGTAAATAATTGTTTAACAGTTTCTCATTATTTTTTGTACGTTAAATGATTCAATTACATGTTTTATCTTACAAAATTTTATATAACACTTTATTTAAAATTTGCATTACCTGACTGCGTGAATGTTGTAGCCTTTTGAAGTTCAAAAATAGCACAAAATAGCAAGACAATTATGTTTTATTTCAGATATTTCTCGAGTAATAGGTTTACTTTTTTGGTTTTTTGTTCCTTCATGTTTATACCCCATCATTGTACCATTCAGAGCTTGATAGCAAGATGAATGTGTTGACTTATCAGTGCGATGATTAACCAACGACGGCGACAATAACTTCGTTCTTTTCCCCCCGAGCATCGCACAGATAATTCACTAGTTTTGTGTTAATATTGACTTGCTGGTAAAAACTCAAGCGCAACAATAAAAAATTATTAAATTCACCAACAATAAAAAAAATAAAAACTTATGTATTAAGAAGGAGCATGGAAGTTCGAAACCCCTTTCATATAAAGGCAAATATCTTCAGTACTACAGGAGTACTGAAGACTCGGTGCATCATTTATTCAATTTGAAAAATATAATATATATTTTTTACCATTTTACCTTGTTTTGTATAGTTATTTTTTCCAAAACTTTCACCCTTATTTACTTTTAGTAAAAGAATACATACTCCGGTAACACCAAAGACGTGCTCCAAATAAAGATGGTAAAACAAATCCCACTCCTCGAATTGACCCGTTAAACCAATTGAGTTGAGATTTCTAATTTACTAACTTGTTGCGGCACAAATTGATCCGTCAATTTATTTATTTAATTTTAAATAATAGTTAATCACATTTTTTATTATTTTATTTTTTTAATAAATCACATATATTTTTTATTCGAGCCAATTAATTTGAGCCGAAAACATCACATCATAATATCATTAGCTCTCTGAAATTTTTGTTTTATATTCACGTAAACTTAAATTCAAAATCTCAAGATCAAGCATGTACGAGTTTAACGAACCTCGTTTATTTCTTCTTTTGATATCTTTTAGAGTAAACACCCTTTTTAGTCCCTGGCAATATCTACGAAGTCCTTTTCAGTCCATGGCAATAAAAAAGGACCAAATTGGTCCCTGAAAGTACTAGCAAAGGGCCACTCTACATATTTGGGAGTTGACATAAGGACTAACATGACCCCTTTTTTGTAATTTCAGGGACCAATTTGGTCCTTTTTTATTGTCAGGGACTAAAAAGGACTTCGTAGATATTGACAGGGACTAAGAAGGGTGTTTACTCTATCTTTTATATTTACCCGTGATCTGGATAAATATTATACAAATACAAGGTCCAAAATTCAAAGCCTTCACAATGAAGCAAAGCCTTAGTCCAAGAAGGTTGCAAGCTCCATAATATTAATGACTTCATGACAACAAACTCCACAAGCTGCTATCTCATCTATAACAACAAGCTCATGACAACCATCAAGCTGTACAATATTAATGGTCTTATCTCATCAAGCTCCTCAACATTAAACATGGCAGCTCTAATACTTTGGCACCAAGACAAGAAAACTGCATCTTATCTCAGCCACCCACAAGAACCAATAGAGAGGAACCTTTGCCTTCACCATGAAGAAAGACACCCTCCAAGCTGCACATCTCTCCACTATAAATACATGTATCAACACTAAGGGACATCATCTTCTCCTACATAATTAACTGCTTGAACCATATCTGACTTGAGCGTCGGAGTGTTTTGCAGGTACACTCCTATCGCGTTCCATCGAAGACCCATGGATAAAGCGGTCCAACTGCAAGATGCTCTGACTCAAGACGGTTCCAGATCTAAGTAGAGGAAGATCACATGATCGGCTCAGTTGTAAAGATTTGATCTGATCAACAGGAATACAATTTTTTATATTTTTTCATAATAAAAAATAGATTATCCATTTTACTACCTCTAGCTTCCCATTCCAAAACCAAAATAAGAGAAAAAAAAAAAAATAATAAGAAACTAAGAAAAAGCAAAGAATTTCGAATTAAATAAAGTCTCCACCATTATTCCATGTCTCTGCTATCACTTCTTAAGAAAAAAAAAGTAAAAAGAAAAAGAAACAAGTGCTCTTCTTCTCTTTTTGCCTCCACCAGCCACCATCGATGGCGGCGGGTCGTGGCAACTGCTACACCTGCTGCCTCAAGTCACTCATCTCCATGGGCGTCAGCGCTCTCATCATCTGGCTGAGCCTCCGCACCCAACAACCCAAATGCTTCATCGAAACCCTTAACATAACAACAACCTCTCACCACCACCACTCCAACAATAACAACGCCACCATTGTTTTCCAACTCAAGCTCTCAAACACCAACAAGGACAAGGGGATCCAATACGACGCCGTTCAGGTCGCGTTCGGGGTATTCCTTAATGCCAACACAACCCGCCCCGTCGGGAACGCCACCCTCGATGGGTTCTACCAGGGCCACGGGAAGACCGCCAAAAAGTGGGGCTCCGCCGTGGCTCACGGCGACGGAGTGAACCGAACGACGGTGGACGGAAGGTTGTTCCTCCGGGTGGATTTCGTGACCAAGGTGAAGTACAAGATCTACTTTCTGTTCTACACGAAACGGCATCGTTTGACCGGAGGAGCGAACGTGGAAGTGAACGTCAGCGCCGGAGAGAAGGTGAATCCTAAGGATATCAGGCTCGGCGCCGTGCCGGCGTCGATCGCGTCCGAAGCTGCGGAGGTTCGGGAATGCTGTGCAGTGCTTGTCAGATTTTTTGTTACTGTCTTGTTCCTCACTGCGTTTACTTGAGTTGACTATTATGAAGTCTTTTTATTTTTTTAATTCGCTCATTGTTTATTTTAAATTATTTTAGTTGGGCAATGGTTATGTGTTAAAATTTTACATGATAGTATCACTTCAAATTTTTGTGTTTAATTATTTGTTTATAGACATTAAATAAGTGGAACCTAATCAAAATTTATAAATGAAATTTATTATTCTTATCTTATCTATGAAAAAATTTATTTCATGCATACACAAATTCAAGATAAGTTTCACTTTATTTTTTCCTTTTTATCCTTCTGAAAATGGACTCCACCTGCATAAATGAATCTGGAGTTATCTCCCACGAGAAAACTATGCCTTAATAAAATAGCGAACTTAAATGATTCTCTTTTTCTTCAGTTATTACAGATAAGTTATCTGTAGTAATCTCAGTATGACGTTGTTTTGGGATGAAAATTATGGTGTTTTTATAATTTTAATTTATTTTAGAATTATTATAGTCTTTATAATTATAATTTTTTAATCTTTCAATTTCAAAACGATGTCGTTTTGAAAGTAAATGCAGATAACTTATTTGCAGTATATTTTTCTGTATTTAAAACATAACATTATTTCTATACAATTTTTCTTACGTGTTTTTTACATCTATTCTTTTTTAATAATAAAAAAATAATATATATTTTCAACATAATATTTTTTATCTTTATTTTTCTGAAGAGTAATAATATTTACACTTCATTTACCTTACATCATTATTACATTATTTTATTTTTGATAATAAAATAAGAAAATATTACATTTTAATATACTCTTTTTTTACCTTTTATTTTTCAAATAAATAAAGTGGAAATATAGTATAATTATTTTGACATACAAATAATATTTTTCTTCTAAACTAGAATAAGTGTACAAAAATTATAAACATTATGGTCTTAATAACAAAGTTCATATGAATTAGCAGTACAAAAAGTGAAATAGTGAATACCGTAATGCTTCTCTCTTATTTAATACATTTATAATGCATGTGAGTTGAATTTTGCTTTTCTGAGCAAGAAAAAGCTGAGAAGAGAAAAAGGAAAGCTTCGTGTTGGTCTTTTCTACTTAGATTTGAAAGATTTCGTCCCACATGACAACGAGTTATTGGCCTAAAAGAAACAAAAGCAAAAAATAGTCCCACACGAAAATGCCTCTAACGAATCCATTATTTGAGGTAAGGTAAATACCAGGTGCCATAGAAAAGTTTTGTACAACATTTTTGTCATAATTATACTATAATTGAGACGGAGTATAGTTGTGCACTTCAGTACTCTCACACTAACAAAAAAATATTGTACTATTTTCTTTTATAAAGTTTTAATTTTTAATAAAAGTTATAAATTCATGGAAGTTATTATTTTGTTTGTAATTATAAAAAATGTAATATAATATTCCATTTTTGAAAAAATTGCCAAAGTGAATCCAAATCGTCTAAGTTTATATTGCGTCATTAACTTTTTTTCTTCTTCTAAACTTCTTTTAAGTACATATATTCTTTTTGTGAACTTAATCAACTATGATATATAATATAGATAAAATATATAATACACAATCACATATGTATCATTACTTTAAAGATACTCCAATCGTAAAAAATCTCTTTAGTACATCACATGTATTAAATTTGATATATCTTTTTTTAAATTTGAAAAATATTTCATCACTTTTAAATTTTTTGTTTCCTGTCACATTATAATTTTTTTCAAATTTAAAAAAAAGATGTATGGAGTTCAATATATCTGATGTACTAAAGAAATTCTCCCAAACTTAGAGGACGAAAGCTAAAAATTATTAGGTTTTAATATAAGATCATTAAATTTTTTTCATTTTAAAAAAGAAAGTTCTAACTTTACTTTTGACATCATATTCAAACATACAAGCATACAATACGTTATTGTCTCTCCAAAGAAAAAAAGAAAAAGAAAATAAAGTCTACCATATAATACAACTAATTTGATTTACCTAGGGGGGCTACCATTTTGAAGTTTAACAAGAGAATGGTATGCTCCATCACGTCCAAGTGAAATCAATTCGTTATGTGAACCTTGTTCCACAACTTTCCCGTTCTTAATCACAGCAATGGAGTTGGATTTCTGTATTGTAGATAGCCTGTGTGCTACTACTATGCATGTTCTTCCAACCATAATCTTCTCAAGTGCTTCTTGTACCAAGATTTCTGACACACTATCAAGTGCACTTGTAGCCTCATCTAGAAGTAGAATTGCAGGATTCTTCAAAATGGCACGAGCTAAGGCTACTCTTTGTTTTTGACCTCCTGATAGCTGAACTCCTCTTTCTCCACAGTATGTCTCATACCCATCTTTCATTCCACTGCCATTACACAAACACCAACATTTCAAAATATGTCATGTGCCAAGAGGAAAAGGTCTTGCTAGTTTTTCTTTGTTGTTTCACTAGGAAATCCTTTGCCACCACATAAATGGTGTTTAACTCTAGCTTTAGCTTGGAGGGTGGAAATAGCTATATGAATCAAATCCGAATTATAACATAAATAACCATATTTTTAAATCTGTTTAAGAACAAAATTATTTTTTCAATATTGATTTGTTCGTAAAATCTAACCACTTTACTAATTTGGTATAAAATACCACACCAAATAAATCATATCGATTATTAGGAGTGTGTAAAAAATCTTAACAAGTGAACCAAACCAAATTTATAAATAACTATTTTTCTGAATTTATAAAAATCACTTCAACTCAAAACTTTAGGGGATGTTTGATAAATTAGATATTTTTTTTATCGGAAAAAAAGATTTCCGGAAATATAGTGGAGAATTTTTTTTACTGGATAAGTTACGAAAAGATATTTGGTAGGTCCAAATTTTTGCTGAGAATATTAAGTTAACTATACTGATACTATGGGAAAATTAAAAATATCATGTATCAAATGGTATTTTTATTTGGGATTCTGTGGTTAAAATTGAAATGATGGGAACAAAGTTTTGCAGAAATATTTCCAATTTCTTCGTACCAAAAGTTGGAAATTTTTTTGCCCCACCCCACTTTCTCAAGTTTTCTAAAACAATCTCCATTCCAAACAACTAAGGCATTGGATGAAGGTATTTTTAATAGTTTATATTATTTTGTAACACACTTTCCACGTCAGAGTCCTTTGGGCGTGAAACGTAGATATTGCATAAGTCAAATTTTTTTTGTTTTACCTCATGCTCATTTAATTCCACAAGTGGAAAACAGTGAAGATCGAACTTGTGACTTTACCGTAACTGAAGTTTCTAATACCATGTAAAAATTACTTCAACCTAGAACACTAAGGCGTTTGATGAATGTCTTTTTAATGATTTATATTATTCTCTAAGATAATTAGATTGAGAACCGAGCTATTTTTATTAAACTAATTTAAGAACTGAATCACTTTTTCTAAATGGTTTGATTCAACAAACCGGACTATTTTACTGGTTTAGTTCGACATAGAAAACCCAACCAAACCCATCCAAATCCTAAGTTGAGCAAACATGTGCATGTCATGATGAGCTTGTGGCCAGCGCTGATTGTATGTGTTTAGGCAAATGATGGTAGCAAAACAAAAAATGATAAATAAAAAAGATTTGATTATTAAAGAATTTATTTTATAGTTCTCGTACCTTATGAATTCATGAGCATTAGCCAGAGCTGCAGCCCTTCTGATCTCAGACTCAGTTGCATTTTCTTTCCCATAAGCAATGTTTTCTCGAATGGTTCCAGCAAAAAGGGTTGGTTCCTGACTCACCAATGCAATATGTGACCTCAGCATTCTCAAATTATAAGACTTGATATCTTGTTCATCTATGCATACTGTTCCCTTCACAGGATCATAAAACCTTTCAATAAGACCAATAATAGTAGATTTACCACAACCACTATGCCCCACTATTGCCACTGTTCTCCCAGCTTCAATTTTAAGAAACAGACCCTTAAATACCATTTGGTCAGGTCTAGTTGGATATGCAAAGAACACACTTTTAAGCTCCACTCTACCCCTTATTTTCCTCTTTTTCTCTGGTCCCCATGATATCTCAGGATCAATCTCAGTTTTCCTATCCAAGATAGCAAAAACTGATCCAACTGCACTGCTTCCTTTAGATATGTCAGAAGTCATGCTTCCAGCATCTGCAATTATGTATGCAGTGAAGAGTAATATTAAAAATGCTTGGAAAAGATGCTTTGGTTCTAACTTCCCATCTAAAAGGAGCTTCCCACCATACCAATAAGCCAATGCTGCTGATGCAGTGTTGAAAAATTGTGAGCTGAAAAGACCAAAACCTGAAATCCATGACTGCCTAACACTCTCCTTTTTAGGACCCTCCATTGTAGATTTGAAGAGTGCCAACATTCTTTTCTGAGAACTGAAAGCGGTTATGGTTCTATGGTTTATAACAGCTTCACTTGCAAGTTGGCTTCCTTCCCTTTGTGCTTTGCGAGCTTTTTCTGCCATGCTTTTCATCAAGACATTTCTTGAGTAAAAGCTTCCAATGACCAATGGTTGCACTGCAATCATCACAAGGGAAAGCCTCCATGTTAGCACAAGTCCTATAGTGTATGCAAAGACAGAACCAAAAATAGCTTGTGCCAACAATGACATTCTGTCCCCAACAAGGGACCGAACCATGTTAGCTTCAGAGGCTAATCTTGCACAAATGGAAGCACTTGTGTTCTCTTCATCATCAAACCACCCTATCTCAAAAGTCATCAACTTTTCTAGTATTTTCTCTCTCATTCTTTTAGTCAACCTTTCTCCCATAATTGCAAAATTATAGTGTTGGAGAATGCTAGTAAAGAAGTTAAAAACACCAATTCCTAAGAAAATGAGGGCTAGGACTCTAGCTTTAGATTTCATCTCAGAGCTATCAGTTTCAAAATAAACTGATATAAGTGTTCCCACACAGTATGCATTTACTGGTTGTACTGCTCCTGAACCTATTGCTCCCAAGATTCCAAGCACTGCTATTCCCCACTCAGGTGCATTCATTTTCAGCAAACGCCATTGTGATGGAGCTGGATAATTTGTTCTTTTCACGTTATCTTCATAACTATCATCATCATGTTCATACTGGATGGAA